CGGGGCTACACGTCCCGGCCAGAGGTGCAGGGCGAGTGAACTGGCGTCACGTCAGCGGGTCCGTGGTGTGTTTGGACCCAGAGACGGTCCCGGGCCAAAAAGGAGCAACGACGGGCTGCAGACAGATCACCAGACAGTAATTTATTCCAAACTCCACAGATTAAGCGTAGGGGAGCGCAGCCTGGGGGTCAGTGACAGTCTGGGGAGCAAAGCAGGGGACGCGCAGCCCAGAGGGGGATTTCGCACGGGCCAGGGACTGGGGGCCTCCCGGGCGTCAGGGGCCATGAGCACTGCACCGGGAGCGACAAAGGGTGGCGGGAGCCCAGTTAGCACAACTCCTTGCCAGGGGACAGCCGAGCTGCCGAGAGAGGAGCGCTGGCCTCAGGCCAGGGGGCACCTCGGCCCTGCGTGGGGAGTCAACAGGGCAGCACCCAGAGGGCCCGGGCAGCGCCCGCGGGACCCGACAGCCAGAAGGTGAAAGAATCGCCCAGCGCAGGTCGCCCTTCGCCCCCGTGTGGTTCCCTGAGCCCGCCAGGAGGGACCCCCGAGTGCAGCGGGAGCAGGCCCTGAGCACCTCCAAGCGTGGCCCAGGAGGCAAAGATTCGCACATCCTGGCTGGAGCGGGGGCGGGGTGGGGGGGACGCTGCCGGCCACCTCGATGCACTGGTCCTGGGACAGCCCGTGTCCTGGGCACACGTGCCCGGAGAGAGCCCTGGGTTTTGGTCAAGTTTTTCATCTTCTTTTTAAGATTAATTACCACGAGATACACCGTTACAATTTGTTTCTGACTGAACTTGAGTCACACGATGTTCCAACTCCTGTCCCTCACCAAGGTCCCCGTTTCCCTCCTGCCTGCCCCAGCCTGTCCTCAGGGTGGACACCCCCCCTCCTGCTGGGCATGTGGGCTGCAGTACAGGGTTCGAGGGCGTCATGTACGTGCCTCCTTTTCTTGGGGCTCCGCGTTTCTCCTCCCAAGAGCTCTGTCTCTGCATCTCGAAGGGATGTGGGCCTCATGCCCTCGGGCTACTTGGGGGCTGGACCAAAGCTCCTCCCGGGATGCTCCTCTCAGCTGGCAGTGACCGACCACGAGAGTCTGGTTCACCGGCGTCCGGGTGGCGCCAGGACTTCAGCACCGGGCCACGGCCTCCGGTTACCAGCTAAGGTTGCAGTGCTGGCTGGCGTGGCCGTGGCCGAGGAACGTGGCTGTTTTGTTTGGGCTTTTCAGGTCACCTTTGGTGATGCTCAGGGGTTACTCCTGGCTCTACTTAGGCAAACCTATGGGGTGTCAGGCAAACCCCTCCCCTCTGGACTTCCGCTCTGGCCCCCAAGGGATGTGGCCTCTGGGAGCTGACTCAGCATCTCAGCGCAGCAGGGACGGAGCTCTGGGCATTCAGAGCCCCCATGCCCTCCGGCTGTCCCCCAGGGGTCTGGCCAGGCCTCCTGCAGCCATTTCTCTTATAAGCTGTCTGGACACCTCCAGGACCCGGGAATGTGTCGTTCTGTTGCAAACTTACCAAGGAAAGCAGAGAAGCATGTACACTGCCTCCGCAGCAGCCGGGCACGGGCCGCAGAGAGGAGGTGCTGACCCCACTCCCAGCGGAATGCCCGCCCCAGCCCCAGACTGCGGTGGGAGCAGAGGTGACACCAAACCCCCAGGCTGCAGGGAGCATTGGGGAACGGCAGGGTGAGCCACGTGCCGCAGCCTTCTGCGTGTCCTGACACGCACAGCCGCTCCCTGGGGCAGGCCGGCAGGAGAGGGTCTGCTGGCCCCCACGCACCCGCCCTCAGCCCCTCCTGTCACCTGCGTGCAGGTCCCCAGGCCAGGCCTCTCAGAGACCCTTGCCCCCTCATCCCAGCTCAGCACACTGGCCCCTCCCGGGAGCTGCAGGCTCGGGGACAGAGGGTGACCATGTCCACCTCGGTCCGGGGCCCCTGGCACGTCTGCTCTGCTGAGCTGGGCATGAGCTTGTCCCGGCCTGAGGGGCTTCTGTGGCCAGGCACTGAGGACACAGGACAACGAGTAACCCGTCCCCGGAGGCGACTGCTGGCCCAGGTCCTGGGTTTGAGCGGCACCACCTGTGTGCGTGCCCGGGGGTTCTGCTCGAGGTGGTATGTGTCACTCGGGGCCACCTGATCCCGTGGGCACAAGTGTCTCCGCTTTACAGGCCCTGGGCTGTAAGCGGGGTCGATTTCTGGGAACTCGCCTGCTGGGAACCCAGGGACGGTGTGTTTTCAGCTGCGAGCGAGTGACGTTGCGGCTGCCGTGGCAACTGTCACGCTTCCTGCCAAAGCCCCCACGGAGACGCACGTGTCCCACCTAGAAAACGACACGTGTCCTGGAGGATGCCGTCCATCCGCGTGTGGGACAGCCAGGAGGGGGACAGCAGGAGGGGGCAGTGGAGGCCAGTTAGGGGGGACGGACAAGCGACTGGACGGAGCCCCGGATAGCATGAGACGAGCCCTCTGGATGGAGCTCCCAAGGCTGTGGGGCAGGAGAAGGCGCTTGGGGCCACCCGGGGACAGAGGGAGCCTCAGGGCGGGGTCACACTGAGCAGCTGGCCCCTGCATGTCCCAGGGCCCTTGCTGGCCTCTGCCCCCCTCTGAGGCTTCTGGACATCGGCCAGGGCCGCCCCGGTGCTGAGGGGGAACGGCCGCTGCTCGTCCTCGACAGGACTACCGGCCGTGGCAGGCCTCGGTGACCCGCCCAAGTGGGCAGGCCTGGGAGCTGGGGCCGCGGGGCCCAGTGCCTGGTGGGGCCCGTGGTGACAGGGACGCTGACGACAGCTCTGGCCTGGCCCAACCCGCCTCTTTCACCCTCTCCCGCCTGACCCGGGAGCGGGGCGTGTTGTGAGGGCGGTGAGCTCTGGCGAGAGAACAGCCGGCTCCATCCGAGGAGACGTGGGCACAGCAGAGACCCCCCAAGGCAGGGGCAGAACCGACCCACCTCCACGGAGCCCTTCCGGGCCGGCCTGTCCTGCTTGCGGGGGATGGGGGCCAGGGCCGCCCAGAGGGCCGGGCTACGGGAAGGGTGGCCAAGGTCACAGGTCCCAGCATGACCCAGCAGTGCCATAGAGGTTCCCGCTGGGCCTGGGTGCCGCCCCGGCCTCCTCACCTCCTCGGCTTCAAACTGGTATCAGCAAACCGCGGGGCTCGTCCTCCCGCGGCCAACGAGGAGGGCGAGAGGTCCCACACTCCCCTTCCTCCACTTCTGTGTCGGGGGCCACATTCTGCGACGGGGCGGTGTGGGGAGGCCCTCCTGGTGGTGCCTGGGAAGCCCCCCCTCACCCCGTGCCTTCAGGAAGGAGGGAAATGTCGGGCTTGCAGGAATCAGTGTCCACAAGAGGCCCTCGGTCCCCACGGCTGGGACGCTCAGCCCCTTGGACGGCTCACGGCGCTTTTCACAGCAGCGGCAGCCACAGCGGATGAGTGTCCTTGCAGTGTCTGCGCTGTCCAGCCGCCTGGCCCGGGGAGGACTGCTTCCCACGCCCTGGACAATGCCGGGTTCTGAAGCGGAAGTCGAGTGTCCTGTCCCTCCTCCCGGCGGGCGGGGGCAGGCGGCAGGCCAGCACGTCAGGGTGACTTGGGGGTCGGTGAGAGGACGCTCCGTCTCGTGACACGGTGACAGACCCGGTCGCCATCGAGTCAAATGGAAGGGTTCCCTGCCCGGCGCGGGTTCGAGTCCCGGCAGGGGGAGCGTGTGCGTCCCAGGCTGACAGCTGGCCAGTCCATACAGAGCTTCACTCTGCCAGGAAGCGGGGAGAAGACGCCTCTTCCCTCGCGCGAGCGACGGAACTGCACAAGGCCAGGTCCACATGGCCTGGGGTCGGGTGGACGGAGCGTCTCCCCCTCGGCCCCTGCTCTCTCCTGACCCCCATCTCGCTCCCGTCACTGCATGACGTGGGAAGCCCTTCTCGGCTCTAAGCTGGGGCCTGCGGCTCGTGGAGGAGAGAGGTCACTGGAATAAAGTGGGTGGCTGGACTCTGTTTTGTTTGGGGTCACACCCGGCAGTGCTCAGGGCTGACTCCCAGCTCTGCACTCAGGAATCGCCCCTGGCGGTGCTCAGGGGACCCTGCCGGGGATCAAACCTGGGTCGCCGTAAGCAGAGCACGTGCCTGACCAGCCGTACGATCTCTCTGGCCCCTTAGCGTTTTGTTTTGTTTTGAGACCTTTTTGCTTTTGTTCTGGGTCCCAGCCAGCGGGGCTGAGTTCCCCTGTGGCAGTGCTCAGGAGTCCATGGTCTGTGCTGGGGTTGAACCGAGGCCGGTGTGTAAGGCAGGGCCTCGAACCCCGCTTTCGCCCTCTCGTCCCCCTCTCAGTTCTTACTCCAAGTGGAGGGCTGCCTTTTAGGGTAAACTTGCTGATCTGTGATTCTGCCATAGATGTGCATATATACGTATATGTATTGTGTATGTGCATGTGTGTGTGTGTGTGTTGCTGCAAACATAGCCCTTAATCATGTAAGCTTTTGGGGTCACACCCGGCGGTGCTCAGGGGTCACTCCTGGCTCTGCACTCAGGAATCACACCTGGCAGCGCTCGGGGAACCCTACGGGGTGCCGGGGTCAAACCCGGCCAGCAAGGCAAGCGGCCTCCCCGCTGTGCTGTGGCCCTGGCCCCCGGGGGATGTAGCTGAGTGGGTGGGAGACAGTGTCGCACAGCTAGACACTGAGACAGCAGAATAAGTAACGGAAACAGGGGCAGCCCAGAAAAGGCGGTACTGGGGTCCCTCCACCACGTCCCAGGCAACTCCTTTCTCGCTCGTTCTCCGGCTGCCCACCTGGACGTTCTCCTGGGCCTGATCTGACTCTTCCGGTGGCGGGGGTGGGCTGTGGGGAGGGAAGGGCACTTGGCGGGAGTCCGTGGCGTGGACGGGGTAGCACGGAGGCGGCGGGGGAGGCCCCCGCTGCCCGGAGGCACTCACCTTCCAGCACGGGGTGGGTGGCACTGTGGCCGGGGCGGGAGCCCGTGTAGCCCTTGGGACCCTCTGCGGGGGGCGGGGGCGGCCTAGGCCGCCGCCTGCTTGCAGAAGCAGCTCCGGAAGGCGCTGGTGTAGGTCTTGTTGAAGGCCGTGTAGATGAGGGGGTTGAAGAAGGAGTTGGAGTAGCCGAGCCACAGGAAGATGCTCTTCCAGACGGGCGGCAGCTCGCAGGAGCACAGCGGCCCGACGAGCTCGGCGGTGAAGAACGGGAACCAGCAGAAGGCGAACACCCCGATGAGCGTGCCCACCATCAGGGCGGCTTTCTGCTCCTTCTGCTCCCGCCAGGCGTCCCCCGGGGGCGGCGGCGGCCCGGGGGCGTGGCGCGAGGTGGCCGGCGGCTGGGGCTTCGGGGTCGAGGTCTTCATCTGCAAGAGAGGGCAGAGCTCACGGCGGCGGCCCTGCTGGCCACGCTCCACGGCCGGCTGGACCGAGGCACAAGCACCACGTCCGTCCGGAGTCCACTGCCGGCTGCCCCCTGGGTGGGCGTCGCCTTACCCCCGAGGTGAGAGAGGCGAGTGGAGACGGGCCTGGGGGTGCGCCCCAGGGCAGGAGAACTGAGTCCCGACTCCTGGGGTGCTGGGGACTCATGCGTGGCAGTGCCAGGGGCGTGAGGGGCGCCCACCTCTGCACACTTCACGGCCCCCCAGTGCCTGGCACCCGAGATCCCGTCAGAGGGGGCAGTTGTTCAGGGCTTCTTTGCTCTCAGAATGCGGCCACGCGGGGCCCCTCACGCCCCGGGGACTCGGGGCTCACTCAGGGCTCGCACAGTGATGGGGAGCAGAAACCCCCAAAGCCAAAGGTGCTGGCGACTCGGTCTCCGGGTCCTGTACCCCCCTCTGACTTGGGGGTCACTGCAGTGGGTCTCAGGCTCGGCTGCCACAGAGCCACGGGACGCAACGGCTGCGCTAACAGCTGCAGGGAGGGCACCGCCTGTCACCTCCCACCCTTGGGTGGCATGAGGGCTCCGAGGGAGCAGGGGCTGGCGTCAGGGTCCCCCCTCGCGCCATGGCACTGCCCTGGAGAGACAGAGGGAGCAGCCCACGTCACACATGTGACGGCAGCAGGCATATGAGGCAGGGTGCCGTGATGCAGAATGAAGACCAGCGCCCAGCAAGGGGCTTCCTGCCAGTTCCCCGGGATGGGGGCAGGGAGTGGAGCCACTCTGGGAGCCGTCGCTGGCCCTGCCGCCCGCTCTGGGGCTCAGAGCATCTGCCCGATGCCCAGCGAAGCGTCCACCAGCCCAGAGATGGCACAGAAGCAGCGAGCCCCTGGGGGCCCCAGGCTCAGCGCTGATGGCGGGAGGAGAAAGATGTGACACTTCTAATGGAAAAACCAGGGGCTGGACAGGGCAGCGGGGAGGGCACTGGCCCGCCATGCAGACCCAGGTTTGATCTATGACGATCCCCTGAGCCCCACCAGGAGGGATCCCTGAGCACAGAGCCAGGAGTCAGCCCTGAACATCGACAGGGGTGGCCAAAAGAAAAAAAAGTCCCGGATAAACTATTTGGCTATTTAAAAAAAAAAAGATGACATTTTTCCCATCTGTAGCACAATGGAAGTGACTTAAGGGGACTTTGGGGAGTGGAACAAGCCAGGCAGAGAAGACAAGCACCGGGTGAGGCCACTTTGGGGCAGAGTGTGAGGGTACGAGCCGGCCAGAGGCAAAGCAGAGGCCAGGGCTGGGGGGCTGGGAGGGACATGGGGAGGAAGTGTGATCGTCTGCTGGGCCTCGCTGGCAGTGCTGAGAGGCTATTTTTGGCTCTGTGTTCTGAGGGGACCCCAGTGGTACTGGGGACAGGACTGGGGTTGTCCAGAATGGACCACATGCAAAGCAAGCACCTTATCTTGGACGGTCTTTCCACCTCTGAGTTTTAATTTTGGAAAACAAGATGAATGAAAAAACCGGGAAGCACCAAGGATTGCAGTTAAGAGAAAACTTCTGAATCAAATACTCTGACTAGCCAGGGTCGGCGTGACAGTGCCATGGGCAGGGCACTTGCTTCGCATGCGGCTGACCGGGATTTGATCCCTGGCACCCCGTATGGTTCCCTGAGGCCCGCTGGGAGAGATCCCTGAGCACAGAGTCAGGAGTCAGCCCTTACGCACTGCTGGGTGTGGCCCCCAAACAAGAGATTAATGGAAATGTGTCACCTAATGCCATTTTAACAAAGTGAAGTTGCCACCCCATCTCCAGGGCTGCTGACAGAAAGAGCGGCTTCACGGTCCAGCACAAACGGGGAACCGAGTCAAAAGCCACAACCGGGGGCAGCGGGAGGACCCCGGGCGGGCTGGACTCTTCAGAGCGTCGTTCTCAGCGCAGGGGGCTGGGGGTCCCCATCCACCAGGCCCCTTGCAAGCAAAGATCCGTGATCTCTTCGTGATCAGTGGGGCCCCTAACACCCCTTGGGGTGTGGCCCGGGGTCCCCCCGAGGACCTTCCCGAGTCCTTCTTCTCCATGATTGCCTTTTTAGTTGGGGCCCTGCCGGCAGCCAGGGTGCAGGGCTGGTGGTGCTGGGGACCTCCGGGGCCGGGCACTGCAGGGATCCTAGATCAGCCCGGGCCCTTCCCTACCTGCCCCGTGAGTAGTCTCCAGCCCAGCCTGTTCACAGGCCAGGGGGCATCAGGGGGCTCTGAGTGCACATTCCCGGCCCCCCTGCACGGGCCTCCCCCAGCAGTGCTCCTGGGCTGACCCCCGTGGCTGCGAGGGCCCTGTGGAGCCCGGCTGTCGGCTGCCTGTGGTGCAGGTGCGCCCTCATGGCATGACCGGGACCTTTGGTCTCTGCCACGCAGTGATGCAATGAAGCCCCTGGGGACCCCGAGACCAGGCTCTGTCCCCCGACTCATTGGCAGAGCCGCACCAACGCAGCGTCGGGTCAGAACGCGCCGCCCGCACCCAGGTCAAAGTTGATGGCCTCAGGACCTCAGTGACCGCTGCACCCTGTGTCCCTGTGTGCCCCAGGCTCACATGCTGCGGCCCGTCCTGTGCGGGCTGCAGTCCCACCAGCCTAGACACAGGGCAGGAGGGTCGAGGGCCAGCGGGTCAGACCGGGCCTGTGTCAGACGTGGGGGTGGACGGGGCTGCTGGAGCCAGGGGAGAGGCAGAGACGGCCCCAAACTGTGCAGAGCCTGGCGCTGACGCAGGCCACTGCAGCCCGACAGCCAATCAGCACCGGCCTCCCCGAGCCGGCTAATCCGAGAGACCCACTTGCTCTGTCTGAGTCACCCGCTGCGCGAGTGACGTCAGGCTGTCCCAGACCCAGGCCTGGTCGTGAGATGCGCTCGCCCCAGGGGAGGCGGGGGGGGGGGGGGGGGGGGGGACGTGCCTGTCTCGGAGCAGCTGCTCAGACACAGCCTGGCCGGGCCTTCGCGGGACCCCGCAGGCAGAGGGAAGGCCGGCCCAGCCCTGGGGAAAGCGCACGCAGCAGTGCTCGGACGGGCCCTCTGTGCCTCTGCTCGAGCCCGGCCTCCTCACAGTGGCCTCCAGGGCCCCTTGACTGTGTCTTAGGGCCCCCCATCCTGCCCAGAAACAGCAAGTCCCCAGCCTTCACCATAAGCCGAGGCAGGGTGGACCCCAGTTTCTTCGCTTTCCACTTTAGCTTATTTATTACATACACTGTGTGTGGGGCGGGGGCGGGGTGGAGCCTCACCCTCGTGGGAGGCCTCACCCCGTGGGAGGCCCTGTGACCCCTCTCTGTGGGCACTGACGGATGCTGCATTTCCCTTCACAGGACCCCTGCAAGGAGGACCCGAGCCCTCCCATGGGCACTGGAGCAGACCCCATAGCCCCCTATGGCTGAGGCAGACCCGATAGCCCCCCGCAGCACTGGGACAGGCCCTATCACCCCCCACAGCACTGGGACAGGCCCTGTCACCCCCCACAGCACTGGGACAGGCCCTGTCACCCCCATAGCACTGGGAAAGGCCTGATATCCCCCCATGGCACTGGGGCAGGACCTCTTCTCCCCATGGGCACTGGGGCAGGCCCGTTACCCCCCAGAGCACTAGGACAGGCCCGATAGCCCCTCAAGGGCACTGGGCCAGGCCCTATCGCACCCCCCACACCCCTGGGGCAGATCTGTTACCCCCCCCACACACACACACAGCACTGGGGCAGGCCTGGTAGCCCCCCATGGGCACTGGGGCGGGACCTCTTGTCCCCCTGGGCACTGGGCCGCCCGCAGCGTGTCCTGCTCCGCCGAGCAGATCAGACCCCGCATATGCTCACTGTGTCCCCAGAGAGGCCTCAGGCTCTCTGGGCTGAACCAGCCAAGGCTGAACCGACGAGTTTGTTCTAGACAAAACTCAGCCTCTCTGCCTTCTCCTCTCTAGCACGGGAGAAGGTGCCCCTTGATGCCCCTGGCTCTGCTCAGTCTCAGTGGCTGTGCCCCGCCCTGGAGATCCCAGAGGGCTAAGGCAGGCGACCACCATGTCTGTTTCGGGGCAAACACATCTCCTGCCACCCCCCTCCCCTCCCCGGCCAATCTTCCAGGCCGGAGCTTAACCGAGTGGAACAGCTGGTCCCAGAAGCAGGATCAGTGGGTGCGTTGAGTCCGAAAGAAACGAGCTCCCGGGGTCTGCCTCTGTGGGCTGGGTCTCCCGCAGGGCAGATCACTAAGAGTTAAGGGAGGGGAGAGGGGGCGGGCAGGCTGCGGCAGCCTCAGCCTGGCTCCTAATCTGCTCCCTGGGGGGAGGGGACGTGGTCCTGAGTCACGACAAGGCGCAGGGGGCCGCGGGGATGGACCAGGCCCGGGCAGACCAGCCCAGACCCCCAGACACCATATTGTACACGATTTGCTGCTGTGATTTCCAAGGGGGGGATGGGAAATGAGCCCACCTGAGAGAGGAGTGGGCTCCCATGACGTGTGTGGGTGTCCCAGCCACCGCCCCGACCCCCGCCCGGCCCGGGACCCCGGGGCAGTGCAGAGCCCGCGCGCGCGGGGCCCTGCGGCACGGGCTGTCCCGGGGGCCCTGGCGTGCCAGAGAAACCACCCACCGGGGCCGTCCGTGCCACGGCTCCGACCACGGGCTGCCCCGAGCCTTTGGCCTCCTCTCGGGGTCCCCGTCGGTCCCGCGCCGGACGGAAGGAGCCCTCCCACCCGCCGCCCCCCAGGCGGCGCGCACCCACCTCCAAGGCGCCGGGGATGGGCGTGACGCGGCGGCTCCGGCGAAGCGCCAGGCGGAACTTGGCGGCCCGGTAGATGCGGCAGTACACGAAGAGGACCACGCCGAGCGGCAGGTAGAAGGCGCCCACGGTGGAGAAGACGGCGTAGGAGGGCGCGCGGCTCACCTGGCAGCGCTCGCGCCGCTCCGAGTACGTCTCGCCCCAGCCGAAGAGCAGCGGCGCCAGCGAGATGACCGCGGACAGCGCCCAGGCCAGCGCGATCAGGGCGTTGGAGGCGCGCCGGCGCAGGCGCAGCGTGTAGCGCAGGTGGCGCGTGATGGACCAGTAGCGGTCCAGCGCGATGGCCGTGACGCTCCAGATGCTCGCCGTGCAGCACAGCACGTCACACGCCACCCACAGCTGGCACAGGCGGCGGCCCAGGCGCCAGCGCCCGCCGGCGCGCTCGTGCACCAGGCTCAGCGGCATGACCAGCAGCGCCACCAGCACGTCGGCCGCGGCCATGGACGCCACCAGGTTGTGCGGGACGCGGTGGAAGGTGCGCACGCGGAGGATGGTGGCCAGGACCAACAGGTTCCAGGCGAACGTCGCGGCGCCCAGGACCCCCAGGAAGACGAGCGCCAGCTCCTGGAAGGTCGAGGGGCCGGGCGGGCCGGGCGGGGGGTCCCCCGGGCCCAGGGTGCCATTGCTCTCCGGCGGGGAGGGGCTGGGGAAGGGGCTGGGGAAGGGGGCGGACAGGTTCAGGGACAGGTTCAGGGGCAGGTCCATCTCGGGGCCGCGCGCGCGCTGGGTCCCCAGCAGCGCCCACGACGCGACGCGGCCCGGCCCCCCGGACCCCCCGAGGTGCTGGCGAGCTCTGGCCGGCGGCGGCGGGGACTCAGGGACATGCCCGCGGCACTGGCCGCGGAGGAGCCCGGCGCCGGGTGGGCGGGGGCGCGGGTCTTCCCTCTGCGGAGGAGGCAGCGGCCCGCGGCCCCCCGCCTCCCGCGCCAGCCGAGCGCCAGCCGGCGAGTGTGGGCGCACCGAGAGGGGCCGGTGCGTCAGAGCAGGACTTCTCCCCGCCCCCCTGCCCGCCCCTCTCCGCCGCCACCGCCGCGGCCTCCCCTCGGCCCGCCCCTGCGCCTCCCGCGGCTCGCCCCGCCCCCTCCCGGCCTGGAGACCCCCGCGAGCTGGGGGACGGGGCGGGGGGCGCGCGGCGCGGGGGCGCAGCAGAGGTGCGGAGCGGAGCAATCAGGCTGCAGAGTGCGGGGCGGGGGGGGGGGGGCGCGGAGCGCGGGCACCGTGGAAGGTGGAGGGGACACCCACCCCGGGGTGCTGGGCAGCGGGACCGGCGCTGTCCGCGGTGCTGCCGCCCCCACTCTTGCTCCGAGCGGGTCCCTGTGCCCGGCGCTGTCCGCGGTGCTGCCGCAGCGCCGCGCCCCGACAGGGGTTCCCTGGCTGGAACAAGTTTTCCAAGGAACTTTGAGGCGCACCCTAGCCGTGCCCCCGCCTGCCCGTGCTAGGGGCTTCGGTGGCCCCCCGTGAAGGCGCTCGCCTGTTGCACGCGGGTTCCCAGCTAAGGGTCACAAGGCGATTCCGCGGGAGGCGATTCCCTCCCCAGGACGATAACGCGCGGCTGCATCCTTCCCGCCGGCTCCCCCCTCCCTTAAGACGCATCTTCCCATAAGGGGAAAAGGCGAGCTACCCCTGCTGGGGTGGGTAGGGGGGAGGCGAGCTATACCCCTGGCTGGGGTAGGTAGGGGGGAGGAGCTACCTCTGGCTGGGGCGGGTAGGGGGAGGCGACTTACCCCTGGCTGGGGTGGGTAGGGGAGAGGCGAGCTATACCCCTGGCTGGGGTGGGCAGGAGGAGGAGACCTACCCCCGGCTGGGGTGGGTAGAGGGGAGCCCAGCTACCCCTGGCAGGGGTGAAGCGGCCCGCTCTGAGGCTAGGTGGTGTTTCTGCCATCCGGAGATCAGAGAAGCTGCACCCTCGTTCACAGGCGCGGTTCAATTTGCTCTCTGTGAAAGGAAAACTCCATAGTTACTCTAAAGTGTCATCGCCCTAAAAGAGAGACATGTAATTATTTCCCCACACACGTTCACGTAAGCACACACACAAAGTGACAACAGGAATAGCAGAAGCTCCTACGTAGAATAGAAGTTCCTATTTCAGGCCCCTCGCGGATGCATGATACAGCAGGATCACGTAAATCGGGGCTAGGTGTGAGGGCTGGGCGTGGGGCAGATGCCTTGCTGGTTTTAGGCCTGGCTTCATCCCCAGCTCTGCACTACACACCCCACATACACACACCACACATGCACTCACACCCGACACACTCCTGATATACACAGCGCACACCCACACTCCCAACACACACCCCCCACACACCCTCTCAAGAACCATCAGAACTGGGCCCCATGACAATGAAAAAAAAACGCTAAGAAATACTTCATTTTTCAGCTATATTCCGTGAGGCCACATTTCCTTCACACGCTTAACCCAAATTAACATATCCCGCCAGATGGCACTCGGAAATAGGAGAGCCAGCTATCCGGGAGATTCTGCAAACATGTTACCATCACTTCGGTCTTTGTTTTGGAAGATACAGTGTTTGTTTTTTGTAGAAAGTCACTCATGTAAACGTGGGCTGGATACTACGGCGGGAAGCGTATCCTCACGCACACCGCCCATCTGGATTCCACCCCGGCTCCAAAGAGCTTCCCAGAGCCGTCAGGGAGGGATTCCAGAGAGCAGAGCTAGGAGTGGCCCAGAATGGTCCAAGCCCAGACCAAAGGAGCAATATCTGCCCCTCCTGTCCCAGCTCCACCCGGGGAGCTGAGGGTCTCCCGCCCCTGGGTTTGCTGCAGTTAATGACTCACTACACAATTTCCTTTCTTATTTTCTGGGTGTCCCGACTCCCAGGAGAGCACTGGGCTGTATTTTAGCGCCTGCCCCAGGGCTGCTGCCTGAAACCCAATGGGGACCTCCCCGTGAGAAGTGGCAGGTTTTGTGACAAGTGGCAGGTTTTCCGGGGTCAGGGGCCCAGGAGGTGACTCTAGACCAGGGCTGTAGATTCAGGCTGCACTGCACCCTGGCTAGGATCCCGGAGCAAGCCCCAGGGGTGCAGCTGAGGAAGGGGGAGTGGCCAAGCAGGGGGCTGGACGTGAGGGCCAAGGCGGCAGTCAGGCTGACCCCAGAGCAGGACCTACCAGTGTCAGCCTAGGTCCCTGATGGGGGCTGGGCAGCCCTCAGTGGCCACTGCAGCCAGGACTCCGGACCAGGTGGTTGGCCAGGATGTGGCACTGAGTATGGGGGAGGTGAGACTCCAGCTGGGACCCTTGAGTGACCACGCAGGCACTTCTCCAAACATGAGCAGAAGCACTGTGAGGACACAGGCTGCGTCCCACTTGTGGGGTCTCGGTCTGGGCGGGTCCAGCTCTGTCCCCCACTGAAAAGGGGCTGGGTCCCCTGCAGTCACGTAGGCGCCCCCCAGATGCAGCCCCTCCCGCGGACCCCGCGGCTGAGCACAGCCCGGTAGTTGGATGGACCCCGGGTGGGGGTGCAGGGCAGTGTGGCCACAGTTCGGCCCCCACGCCTGGCCCTGGACAGGCCAGAACAGGGCACGAGGGACCCGGGGGTGCAGGGCGGGCACCACCATGGGAGGGGGGAGCCGTGGGGTCAGCCTCTCATGTGCGGTACTGGCCCAGAGCCCAGGCGTGGACACAAGAGGCAGCTCCCCGGGTAGAGCCCATGGATCCCCGCAGGCCACGCCCAAGGCTGGGCCGGGCACAGGGGGTCCACGCTGGCTCTCAGCCGCTTCTAGAAACCCCCCTCCCGCCCGGGCCCGCCCCACCCCCAGCCCATCTCACCTGCCACGTGGCCGCAGCCAGCCCTGCGGACACGGACGGGAAGTGGTACGAGGGGGCGGGACCATATGGGGCGGTGGCCAATGAGAGGCCGGACATCCAGGGCCGCGCTCGCCGATTGGCCTGAGCAGGCGGAGGGCGGGCCCCAGGCCCCCTCAGGCTAGTGCAGGGGAAGCCAGTTGCGTGCTGGCCACCCTCGACCCGCTGGCCGCCACACGCTGGGATCTCGAAAGCCCGTGGCCCCGCGAGCCGGGCTTGACCGGCCACGTGCCCGGCAGCGCCCTGCCCGCCGTCCCCTTGCCCATGCCCTTGTCCTCTTGTCTGTAGTGGGGGTCGTGGAAATCAGGGCCCCGCCGGGGCTCACCTGTTGCGCCTGCTGATGCCTCCGAAACCTCAGTAACGGCCACGCCGCCCCCTGTCGGACACTGCAGCGCCCCCGAGCTCCAGGGTGCGGGCTGAGCGTCTTGGGGGTCTCCTTAGAACGCAGCGCTTGCTCCTGGTGGGCAGGGCTGGGCCTGGCCTTCCTGCCTGGCTGTCTGGGTGGGAGGGGCGGCCGAGACAGCCCTGGTCCCTCGCCAAGGCGGGAACCACGTGCGCTCCATTTAGCTGATGGTGCTGATGGTGGCCCGGCCGGCCCACAGGTGCCGCCTCCCGTGGGGTTGATCAGATACTGATGGGTTCCTTCTCGGGGTGCTGATCACGATCATCCTGTTGTTCGTCGATTTCCTCGAGCAGGCACCAGTAACGTCTCCTTCTTCCTAGCCCTGAGATTTTAAAAGGGCCATTTCAATGCTCTTTCGGGATTAGGAGGATGAGACCCATCATTGTTACTGGTATTTGGCATATTGAGTACGACACGGGAAGTTTGCCAGACTCTGCCGTGCGGGCAGGATACTTTTGGTAGCCTGCCAGGTTCTCCAAAGGAGAAATAAGAGAATAAGATGTCGTGCGGCCATGAACGTGGCCGCGCGCTTCCGGGAGCTGGGTTTTATAGTCTCTGCGTCTTGGCCGTTGATGGGACCAACCTGGCGCTGGCGGCAGCTGGTGGGTGTGACGCCTACCTACTGGAAGATGGGGGGTCTGGGTGGAGAGGGCCCAGTCCCAATCCGAGTAGGCTTGGAGACCTCAGCCCCGGGACCCGCATGCCTGGGTTCCTCTGCCAGTTCTTTCATGCATGAGGCCCGACCGGACGTGTGGAGAGTGGTCCCAGCATGGCCGTGGCTGGCTCCGGAGGTCCTCAGCTGCTGGGGCTCTGCTCGGGGCTGGGGGGGGTGGGGGAGAGAGAAACTCAACCCTCCCCCCTCCAAGGGGCCCCGGTGAGGACAGCCAGGCACGCAGGGGCAGGAGACTCTGATACTGAGGAGTGCTGATACTGACGTTAATTGACTGAGCGGAGTTCAGTCCTGTCTTCCCAGCCCTTAGAGGAGGCCCGGTCGGCCTGCGGGTCAGTCTTCCTGGTTCTCCCTTAGCTGTGCATGGCCTTTCCCGGGCGTCAGGAGTCTCTGGTCCCTTACTGCTCTCCAGGTTGCAAACAGGAGTAACTGCTTTTGGGGTGACCGCTAGCCTGCACCGTGGACGTCTCAGCAGGTTCCCTCGGAGACCTGCTCAGGGTCTGGCGCTTGCTCCCTGGTAAAATGCCTGGTGAAGACTCTGGCGGGGTTCACGCAGCCGTGCCTCCGGGACCGCCGGGTGTCGCTCTCTGCACCGTCTGGGTCTCCATTGCAGCCGGCTTTCTCACTAACAGCACCCCGGGGACCACGGGCTGAGTGGGTCACTCCCAGCAGGGCGCTGGGCCAGTTCATGAATAGGAGCTGGCCGGCACGGCCCCTTTGGGCGCCCACTTCGTGCTGCCCTTCTCCCTGCCTGGCCCCGCAAACTGCCTCTGCCCGAGGGTCCTCCTAGTTGGGGGTCGGGGAGACCCA